TTCTTTCTTTCTTTCTTTCTTTCTTTCTTTCTTTCTTTCTTTCTTTCTTTCTTTCTTTCTTTCTTTCTTTCTTTCTTTCTTTCTTTCTTTCTTTCTTTCTTTCTTTCTTTCTATAACACTGACATAACACTGAGCAGTTTACAGCAACATAACATTGATCCAACTACCCAACCATCTAACAAAAAATGTCTCAAACCCACCATGATGGCTACGAGAGTACAGATAGAACAGCTCAGAAGAGGATACTTTTGAATGCGTTTTGAAGCAGGACAGTCTTCAGCATCTTCTTTAAAAAGGATGGAAAGGTGGGCGGTTGACATACTTCTGTCAGGAGCCCATTCTATAAGGACGAGGCCACACCTAAGAAGGCATGATTTTGGTGACAGTCTCTTTTGCCTTCTCTCAGTGAGAAAAATGGATTGTACGGGGTGATGTTCTGACAGTGAGATGCTCTGGCATATAATAGGCCACTGAACTGTTAAGGGCTTTGTACAGTATACTAGAACTGTTATATTGAACCTAGCCCAGAATGTAACAGGAAGCCAATGAAGGTGAACCAGATCTGACAAGAGATGATCAAATTTATTTACACCTGATACCCGTCTGGCTGCTGCATTCTGCAATTTGCAAACTAGTTTCAAGGATAGTCACATGTACATAGTGCTACAGTAATTGATCTTAGAGATCACCAGTACGTGTATCAATACTTTAGCCCCCCCCCATTTAAGTAGGGGTGTATCTGGGCAATCAATTAAAGTTGATGAAAAGCTGACCTAGACACAGCCAATATCTGATGTTCTAAAGATAAGGCTGGGTCCAGGAGCACATCCAAGTTATAAACATGCTCCCTAAATGGAAGAATAACTCCATCCAGCCCAGGGAGGCAAGCCTGTAACCTTTTCAGAGGGGCCCCCAACAGCATAATTCAATTTTCAACATAATTCAGGATTCAGTTTCAGTCTATTAGCCCTCATCCATTCCAGAACTGAGGTCAGGCAATGCTCCAGGACATGGACAGTATCCACTGTAGAGGATGCAAAGAAGAGATAGAGTTGTGTATTGGCAGCATACTGATGAAAACACACTCTGAATCTCCACATGATTTCTCTCAGTAGCCTCACATAGATGTTAAAAAGCATTGGGGAGATAGACAGCCCCCGTGGAACCTCACCGTTTAGAGTCCGATGGACCAACACATCCTCTCCAAGCTGAACTCTCTGGACCTGGTTGTCAAGAAAGGATCAGAACCAGCTGAGGACCAGCCCTCTAACCCAACAACCTGTATAAAAGGCCACTGAGAGATCAGGGAGAACCAACAGGGTCATTCCTCCCCTATTAGCCTCCCTTAACAAATCATCTTGCAATGTGACCAGTGCTATCTCTGTGCCATGGTGCAGCCTGAAACCAGACTGGAATGGACCCAGGCATTCTTCCTCCCTCCGGGGACATCCAGAGATGCTCTGCCTCCACCCACTCAGTCAACTTGTCTATAAAAGGGATTTTAGCAATGGGCCTTGAGTTATTCCAATCAACTGTCACAAGGTTGCCATGCTTTATGATGGACCCTGTAATAGTTTCTTTCACACAGGAGGGGTAGGGTGTAATACCCTTCCTTAGCAAAGCATTTATGATGTTAACAGCCCAATCCACAGCGACCTCATTGGCTACATTCAATAGCCAAGATGGGCTGAGGTGATGGGTTTGCAATGTCCCAGCATCAGAAGAAGTTAAAAACAGGTGAAAAACAAGCAAAAAAGGAGATTTAGCTATAACATCACTAAAATCACAATAATCAAAGCAATTAATGTCATCATAAAAGTGAGAAAATAGTTGAAAATGCCAGTTTGGAGAGATGCATCTTCATATTTGTCCCGTGTGGGAACTGACTGCATCACTGAGAGGAGTGGCTTCTACCATCTGGAATCAATGCAGGAGAAAGGCTTCTCCCACACGCCTGTGCAGGCCTTCACAGATTATGTCCTGTCAGAGGACCTTTCTTGTAGATCTTATCCTCTGAACAGATTCGTAACAAGATGATCTCCCAAGCTTTAAAATTAAAACAGACATTTTGAACAGGGCCTTGAAAGCAATTAGCAACTTGAGCATGTCTTTCAATAATACCTGGGTCATATGATCTTGATATGATACTTCATTAAGAAGCCTAACGTCTGTATATCTTACATACCTAAACCCCTACATACCTAAGCACTTGGGCAGTCTTTGTGGGTGTATTATAGTAATCAAAAGAAGTTGGCTCAGTAAGATAGCTGATACGTGAAATTGCACAAAAATATTCCTTGATGCCACCATCACCTGGAATCTAGGCACGTTCCCAGACTATGAATCTGACTTTTCAGGTTCCAGAACAGGTTGAATACCAATGCCAGAGATTGATTTTCTGCTGAAAAAGAGCACTTTATCTTGTCAGGGTGTAATTCAGCTTGTCTGCTGTCATCCAGCTCATCATCAACCCCAGACATTATTCAAGGATATTGATTGTTTCCTTCATGTTGGGTAACATCCCTATATCCAGCTCTGTTGCCTCTTAAAAACCTATATGCAAATTACAGAGATCCTGACAATAAAGGAAAGAAAGAAAGAAAGAAAGAAAGAAAGAAAGAAAAAAGAAAGAAAGAAAGAAAGAAAAGCAGCTCATGCTGAGATAGTCCAAATAAAAGAGAATGAGAAATGAGAATCCAAGGTATCTAGAACACATCAGATTGCTTGCTTGCCTCTGCCATAGCATATCATTTAGAAGATTACAGTTATTATTTTTAAAAAATATAGATTTTTAGGTGAAGGCTCATCATTTAAAAATATAGCAAAGGGGTTCCAGCTGTGAAGAGGGAGACAGAAGGCATAAGTAGCTTGAGCAATGAGTCTGTTATGGATGGAGAATGACTTATACTGTATTAGAATAAATATACAGACTTCCAATGTTATTAAGGTATGGGAGAAACTGACTCTTTCTCTTCCTGTGAAGGGCAATTGTCCAGACTATTGGTCAACTCTCCCTTGTGTTAATTTCAGAGCCATCTTCCTTCCACCTGTCTATTATCTGTCTGTTCTAATATAGGACAAATTTAATGGCCAACACTTCCTTTTGTGTGTGGTGATTCCATGATACCACTGGATGGCTCTTTTCTGCTCATCTCTGAACTTAATCCATGTGGTACCACAGATCCTCTTTGCAGAGTTATTAACTAATTTTCACCTTAAATCACCTTACAGATATCAATGAATGTCTAATGGTTGGCATATGTAAAGATGCAGAATGTGTGAACACCCGGGGCAGCTTCCTTTGTACTTGTAAGCCTGGCACTCTGCTGGATCCATCCCGCAGTCACTGCATTTGTAAGTGCTAACAGATAAGCAATAACCATCTATTTTATTTTATTTATTGGACTTCTGTGCTGCCCACTTAGTGCAAGGCACTACTCTAGCTGTTTAACATAAATAATGTAAAAATAATAAAGGAAATATAAAAGGAATATAATAAAATCAAAACAGTAAACACAGGATAACTCAATCAATGAACATCAGATTATAGATTATAGATGGACAAGCAAACAATTAGGCAGTCATGTGCCTTTTTATAGATACCTTTTTATGTGCCTTTTCATACATACCCTGATTGTTAATAATTATGAAGACATATTTTTATGCCAAAGTTAGGTCAAAAGAAGCCTGCTGGAGTGGGCATTTACCAGCAGGATCAATCCTTGGTAATTTTGCTGTGCATCAGATGGAGGTAGAGTGGCAGTGACTATTGAAACCCAAGAGAGACTTTTTCCCTAAGGGTTCACCAAAAACAGAAGCAACAACATCAACATGAATTGAATGAAACTTGCCAACTATCCCCCTCAGGCCAGTTTTTTTTAAAAAATAAATCTTCCAATTTTATCTTTGTTCTGATCAGTTTCACTTTCATTATTACTTGTTATGTCTCACCTTTCTGTTAAAAAGCCCATATTGGCTAATACAATAAAACTCAATAATAAGCATTTTAAAAGTAACAAATAAGTGTTGTAAAAAACTGTTCACAAGTCACATGTAAAAACTGGAGCCAGTTAAAACATAATTAAATTGGAATACAAACTGAAACACAGATCAGTCTCCTATGCTATCTTAAATTAAGGTAAATTGTCCAAAAGCTGACTTGTATTTGCACTTATACAATTAAGCCCAAAAGTAACAAGGACCTCCTTTCTGCAAATCTTGTAGCTCACTTACACATTGTAGCTTACACTTACACATATTTAGCAGTTTTATTTGGCAGAGTTTAAAAACTGCCTAATGATTAGTTTCACTTGCTTCTTTGCCAAGAACGTGAGCTTGTATAGATTAGAATCTTACAGTTAAGTTTTAACAGAGTGTACTTCTTACAATGTGAACTGTCTTTAAGGCTTTTTAAAAGCTATTGAATGCGTTCCAACACTAAAATAAGAGCTCAGAAAAATGCTTATAAAATTAATTAAATACAATTATACAAACTATTATAACTACAATTTTAAAAAATATCTCTGGGCTCAGTGAGATGGGTTATTCCATTCTTTTTTCTGGCAATTAGACAATGGAATGGTTAGGTGAAGCAGTTTATTTCCAGAGCACCCCTACCCACAGCTTTCTGATCCTCTTTCAGGGGTTTCTACTTTTTTGCTGTGGGTAGGTTTGTTTAGTTTGGTCTGTTTCCAGCATGCATGATAGCTGGGAATGGACCAAGAAGGGAGTCTTAAGCTGTTAGGGCTCCTTCTTTATCAATTTCCAGTATCATGAAGTGGCTTAATAAATGAGCTACTTCAGGATATTAGCAAACTGAACACTTCCCCTGTTTGTCCACAGAGGGGCAGAGGAAATGAAATTAATTTTTTTTACTCTGCTAGACTATCGCTGATGTACTGCTTCATTTAGATTACATTTTCCCCTTTGCCTTGTCCAAAATGCCAATTGAGAAACTACTCACAGCCAAAATCACTGAGAAGCAAAGTGTTCCATTGCTAATATATTAAAATATTGTAGATTGCTTGCTTACTAAGCCACTTCACTATATCTGAAATTGATAGTGGAAGGAGCTCTTGAGATAGGATAGGATAGGATCTATTGAGAACCACACCAAATGGTATATCACATCTCCACCCAGCCTCAAGCAACTCTATACTGCACCAGCCTGCTTCAAAAGGGATAGTGTAGATAAGCCTTCTGTGTGCTATTGTTTATTAAAAGTGCCTAAATAGTCACTCTTTAATTAGTTTTTGGGGGTAGAAAGTCTGAATGCTACAAGCTGCTAGCCTGTGATACAACACACTTACCTCTCATCTATTTGTTAATTAGTTTGGTGCACAAACTCCTTTGGGATTGTTCTAGTCCAAAAAATAACTTTCTGTCTCTGCTAAAATGTTTCAGTTATACTTAAAAATGAGTGACATTGTAGTTCCTGTTGAATTGTTATATGTCAGTATTGTAAAAAAAAATTCATTGCAGCTAGTTAGTTATTTGTAGCCAGTTATTTCCAAGCTCTGTTGTAAGCTGCCCAGAGACCTTTGGGTAGTGAGGTCGGCATATAAATAAAATAAATGAATAAATAAATAATCTAGTTTTTCCCCTGCTCTCATTCTACTGATTGGTGAAGTAATAGGGAAAACATGGTAGAGACTTCTGAATAGCATGATCCTGCATAATAAGTAAATACAACTGTGTGCAGTTGAATTTAAGTGTGTATAGAATATGCACACATGCCTGAAAATAAGCCCTTCCAGCCTCAGTAGAATTTCCTTCTAGGTAAATATGCATAAGATCACATTGCAAATCTTCCTTGGCAAGTGTGCGCAAAGGGTTAATCCTCTTTTTTTCTCTTTTAGCGGATAAAGCTGTATCCACAGAGCAGGGACTGTGTTATCGCTCAACAGTAGAAGGAATCTGTGCCCTGCCACTCAATCTTCACATCACCAAACAGATCTGCTGCTGTAGCCGGGTTGGCAAAGGATGGGGGCGAAATTGTGAAAAGTGTCCCTTGCCAGGATCTGGTGAGAACTCTGCTTGCTTTGTGGAGATTTATTTATTTATTTATTTATTTATTTATTTATTTATTTAGTTAGTTATTTAGTTATTCATTCATTCATTCATTCATTCATTCATTCATTCATTCATTCATTCATTCATTCATTCATTCATTCCTTTTTATCAATTTAATCTTGTGATTCCTTTACTTCTGTTTGTCTTTATCAGACAAACACATTCATATTCTCTACAAGACAACAGATTTCAGAAGACCTGAATATTCACTTGGCTTTATAGTCTTCTTTCAACTTCATTATTCTATGATTCTATGATAGTGTCTCAGCATGCAGATGGAGCCCTTGCACAATGTTGTCCTAGTCAAAATGTGACACATTCCCCAGATATTGCTGAATCATCAATGTGGTCACAGCACCAGCGCCCCCCTAGACTTTTTGAACCTCAAAACGTATGCTAAGGTTTTGCAGCTGTTTTGCAGGGCAAGTCCTGCATTTTGCAGCACCCCCAGTATGGTGTAACTGATATATAAAGTTGGGGTTCCTAGAGGCAGCTCAAAAAACTCAACATTATCTTTTTACTCTCTAATCTATGCCCAGTTTTTTTTTGAACCTTTTGCAGTACCCACTCCCCCATGGTGAAACTGGCATACCTTGTATGGGGGACTACTAAGCATCTCAAAACAAACAGTGCCCTCTTTGTTCCAGGCCCATGCCACAGCTGTAGTAATTTTTCATATGCTATACACATGGGCCATGAAGGATGTGCTAGAAAGTGTCCAGAAATGTTGGGGAAAATATGAAGTGGCCAGACTACTATTTCTGGTATTTGATATTGCCAGGGGAGGAGGTATGCAAACCAGTTGCAAAACTTGAAGCTGTTGTACAAAGAAGTGATGTTTCTAAGTTCTGCCTGTTCCTGCCTTCATCTGTCCCACTCCTCCACAGGGACTGCCTGAAGGAACACCTTCCAACTCTGACTTAGGTTTGGTCTTACGCAGCCAAATGATCTCGAGAATGGCCTTTTCAACTACAGCTGATGCTAACATCACCAAAGAATTAAAAGGCTGCTTGAACTTCCAGAAGTCTGACTATTTGACCTTTGACTCTTAGGAAGCTTGAACAGACATCCTTTGCTTTATTACTCAGTTGTTTGTTTCTGTGAGAGAGATAATTGGCTATAGGCTGAGTGAGAATTTCTGTGTGGTTATATTGAGAAAAAGGCAAGCACGTTTTCCAGAATAGGTTAATAAGATATTGCTCTAACTAATAACACATACAAACAAATGTCTTTCTTTTTGCTGGCAACTTGTAGTTTTCAATTCTAATCCCATAGATATAGTCTAAACATGTTTTACTTATGTGAGAGAACATTGTTTCAATTGTAATGGATACCTAAATAGATTATAAAAGATGAAACATGTACCAACACATCTTACCTGTGTAACAGAAAAACTGCACCCCAATACTGATTTCTATAAGCCCTCAGCTATTTCTTCTTCTCTTGTGGCTTCCTTCCCTCTGTATCATCAGATTTATGTCTTTCATTTTGCATTCCTTGCAGAAGCCTTCAAGGAGATTTGCCCTGCAGGGCATGGCTACACTTATTCTAGCTCTGACATACGGATGTCCATGAGGAAGGCAGAAGCAGAGGAGCTGCCACATAGCTTAGAAGAACAGAAGCAAAATAATGATAGGGTTCCTGACTGGACAAGAAGGCGGCAGCAGCTACAGGAGGTTTTGAGTGGTGGTATCACAGACACAATCCCTAGAACTGACGTATCTGCAGGAAGAGGTGAAGTAATATTGGAGTGGAGCCAGCTAATTCCCTTCATAAATGGGGAAGGCATTTATTTCCATTCTGTTTTCAAAATGTCTTGCAAGGTCTTGCAAGTGAGCAAGGTCTGGGCATCTCCCCTGAAACCACTGAGGATGGCACATCCTCCAGTTACCAGCAAGCTTGTTCTTGTGGTGACTGTTTAAAAAGTGGCTTTGTATAGCACCATTTTCTTGGAAGGATGATGCTTTTCCACAAGCAAATTAGAAGCTCATAGAGCACAAATCCGCTTGTAAATGAGGGGCGTGAGGAGGATCTGCTTCATTTCTAGTGGGGGGAAAGCCAGTTTTAAAGATAAACTTCCATCTAGAGGGCCTGCTGACTCTTCGCTGTGAGGAATCCTTTCATGTATGTAACATAGGAAAGGAGCTGAGATGGAAAAAGAAAAAGGGTCTTTGCCTTTTCCCTAGAAGGTACAGAGGCAAATAAGTGGCCAGTCTAAAGAGAAAGTATTCCAAACTGCTGAGGCCACTCCCCAAAAGCACCGGGCATCCCTGCAAGGTGCACTTTCAGAGGGCCATCATTTTGACTGATTTCAGATCTCAGAAAGATTGCATCTTCTTCATGCATTACATGATGTATGTGTAGTGTCAACCCCAAGTACATGGAGGTTAGAAATGTGTGGTAGTCTTGGTTACAGATGCTACAATCCTGTATATTAAAATAACAATAAATACTGATATGGAATATTGAGTGCTCAGACAATTCACATACTTTATCTTGTAACACTTAGAATATTGGGCTGAAGAGGATAGAACAGTCTTTCCCGAACTGGATACCTTTGGTATGCATCAAATTATGACTGTCATCATTGCCAGTGATCATGGTGGGGAATGTGGGAGTTGTAGTTCAACATATCTGGAGGGCACCATGGCAAGCATGGTCTAAACCAAACAGAAATTTTAGGACTGGATTTTAATAGGATGGATGAACTACATGTGGATTTTGAGGCTCCACCTAAATTAGCCTAGTGATGGAGGTTTAGCCTGTGGTTGCAAGGTACTTAGCATGTTAAGATATCAAGTTTTCTAACTGACTTCTATTGTTTTACAGGAGAATCTCAAGAAGATCAGGTGAGTAAAACCTCTGCCACTGCCTTATATGTTTGGGATACGATGGAGGTCAACATTTGGTTTAGAAAAGCCATAAGTTAAAAAGTGATTGAAAAAACAAACTCTTCGGAACAAATAAGGTTTGACTCAAAAAAAAGAAAGAAAGAAAGAAAGAAAAGAAAGAAAGAAAAAAAAGAAAGAGAATTTATAAATTTACATAAGTCATCTTATTTTTAATATAAAGCAAATCTAAGAGGATATTTCAGAAGTGATGTATCTGATTGTATAGGATGTAGTGTTGAGTCCCATGGAGTGGTCTTGTTAGAGGGATATTTGAAAGATAATGTATGAATTAAAAAGTATGTCATAAATTTCTTAGTAACTTAACATAAATGTAGTTTATAGACCAACTGATAACTTTTTTGGGACATTTGAAAGACAATCTGAAAGTAAAAGAAAGTGTGTCATGAGATTCTTAGGTCAAAAACAGATGTCTCAGGCAGTCCATAAAATCCTTAAGAGCAGATTGTAAATGGCTGTTGCAGCAGGAGCTTTTCTTACTCCCTGGAGTGCACAAAATAGGGCTTGTCTACATGTGGCAAATCCACAATGGATTTGGCTGCAAGGAGGATCTCTTTTTCTCTAAGACAAGAACAAGAAATGGGGAAAATGCTCCTCATTCCCCCTCCAGTCTCCCATCTCTTTCTGCTTCTGGGGAGGAATTTTGTATTTATTAAATTTTTTAAACATAAGTGATGCGATGCAATAATAGAGTCTAAAAAATGTGATTTTTTTTTTAAAAAATTCCTTTGCGCTTCCATGGAGGCACTGAGGAAGTGTTAATTTGTCTATATTATGGGGGGATCTTCTTATAAGCTACTTCCCAATATGGCAAACTAACAGTGATAGACAATTTGACAGCTTCAGCTTTGGTTTGTTTCCAGCGATCGCACATGTTGGAAACAAACCAAAATATAGCAATCCTACCTGCACAAAAAAGTAGAAGCTCTGATGGGGACACAGAAAGGTGCAGACAGGAGCACCCTGGGAATGGTTTAATTCACTCCAGTGATTACATTGTGTGATCACCAGAAAGGAGTGAACTAACCCATCCGCGTAGCAAACCGAACAGTGGACTAAATGTCTTTCTGACTGTACCCTTAGTTTGCTTTGTTTTGTGACTAGTCTTCGAGACTTCAGCATGAGATTCCTTTAAAAACTGCCTTTGTAACAACTCTGCAACATTAATATGCTTCTATTTCTGCCCCTTAGTAATGGCTCAGTTGCTTTAGGACCATTGGGAACTATATCAGCAAGTAAAGACTGAGTCATTTAAAAGTGTACCATTTAACCTTGAATTAAAAAGTTAACATAATCAATAATTAATGTGAAATTGTAAAAATATTAATGTAAAATCTAAAAATATAGATTATTTTATAACTATTGGATTCAGTTTTAGCTGTTTGAGTTTAGAGTCTTAGATAAGCCCTAGAGTGTTCTAGTGTCTTGTATATTGTATTAGTATATATTTAGAACTACAACAACAAAAGAAAGAGGCCTGATGATTTATATTGGCCAAGATCTTACCGATCAGTTATGCCAGCATAAGTGCAGTGGCATAAATTGCAATGGCTAACTACCACTGGCTGGCTGCATAGTTCAGTGGTTTCGGTATCTGGCTGAGGAGCCAGAGGTAGGGATTCCCCACTGGGCCTCCTGCAAATAGACCCAGCTTGTGTTGCCTTAGGCAAGCTGTACAGTGCCTATCCCCCCCTTCCCCCTCCCCAAAGAAGGGAATGGTGAACCAGTTCTGAATATTCTCTACCTGAAAAACTCTGAAAAGGATCATTATAAGTGAGAATTGACTTGACAGCATGTGATTATTATCAACTGCCACTAGTAAATGATTGAAATAGTTATAAATTTTGTATACCTTGGTTCATTTATCAATCCAAATGGAGACTGGCCAAGAAATCAAAAGAAGCCTGAGACTAGGAAGGACAGCAATGCAGGAATTAGAAAAGATCATCAAGTGTAAAGATGTGTCACTGAGGACCAAGACCAAGATCATCCACACACTTGTATTTCTGATCACCATGTATGGGTGTGAAATCTGGGCAGTTAAGAAAGCTAAGAGGGAAAAAATTGATTCATTTGAAATGTGATGCTGGAGGAGAGCATTGCTGCCTTCGGGGGAGTCTTCATCATCTGCCGTCCCTCAGGCACTGAGTGAAAGACAGTGTAGCTGTGCTGCTGCCGGTTGCCAGCCTTCCTGGGGGAGTTTGGCGTGGACTCCCTCGGCCTTACAGGACTGGGCCCTTGCTGCCTCTGGCTGCCCCACCCAATCCTCAACATCAGCCACCTGGCTGGGTGGGGGAGAAGGGGCTTTAGAAGGGGGCTTTATTGTCATTATCAATTATCATCAGGTTACATATGTAGAGACCCACAGTGGATCTGAGGGAACAGGAAGGGGGGAGGGCATTGGAGAGGGCAGCCATTGAGGTGGTGCTACGTAGGGGAAGGAATGGTGGTGGGGGTAGATTCGATTGGGGATTCTGTTGGTGTATCGCCCACCTTGCTGCATACCAGCAGTCTCCCTGCCTGAGCTGATGGAGGTAGTCTCAGACCTGGTGTTGAGGACTCCCAGGCTGTTGGTGCTGGGGGACCTTAACATCAATGCTGAGGCTGCCTTGACTGGATTTCATGGCCGCCATGACAACCATGGGGCTGTCTCAATGTGTCATCGGCCTGACACATGAGACGGGCACACTTTGGACCTGGTTTTCTCCACGGGACTGGAAGATGGTGGTTTGGATGTGGAGGGGCTGGTTGTGACCCCATTGTCATGGTCAGACCACTTCCTGGTCAAGTTTAGTCTATTAGCTTCTTCTACCCTCTGCAAAGGTGGGGGATCTATTAAGATGATCCGCCCTCAGACACTAATGGATCTGGATGATTTCCTGAATGCTCTGGGGGATTATCTGTCTGATATGGTCGCCACTTCTGTCTAAGATCAGGTCACCCTATGGAATGGGGAGATGACCCGGGTAGTTGACACGATTGCGCCTAAGTGCTGTCTCCCTGCACGCAGAGCCCAGACAGCTCCTTGGTATACTTCTGGTCCCAATGGGGCATTGACCCTTGTCTACTTTTTCTGCTTAGGCGTCTCCATTCTTCAAACTCATGCCAGATCCGCTTTCCAAACTCCAATATACTATCTGATAGGTTTCAAGTTAATAGGGGTGTCCGTCAAGGGTGCATATTAGCCCCCTTACTGTTTAACCTGTTCTTAGCAGATCTTCCCCCTTTCTTATCTAAAGCTGCCAACCCTTCCCCCTCTCTTAATGGTGCCCCTCTTTCAGTTCTCCTTTACGCAGACGATGCAGTCCTGCTTTCTCTTTCCAAAGCCGGCTTGCGTCTCCTTTTAGCCAAATTCCAAGACTACTGTTCCGTCAACGATCTTTGTATAAATTCCTCCAAAATAAAAATAGTTGTTTTTTCTAAATCCAGCCTTCTGTCCACTTGGACAGTTGGTACACATTCCTACCAGCAAGTGCCAACATTTAAATACCTTGGGCTCACTTTCCATCACAAACTAAACTGGATCCCACATAAAAAA